AAGATTTTGGTTAGATGAATGAACCAAAGCTGATCCTGTACATCCTTCTGACTCGAGATGTTGGCTAACTGGAAGAACCAAAGTGGATTCTGTACTTCCTTCTGACTCAAGATGTTGGCTAACTGGAACAACCAAAGCTGATCCTGTACATCCTTCTGACTCGAGATGTTGGCTAACTGGAAGAACCAAAGTGGATTCTGTACTTCCTTCTGACTCAAGATGTTGGCTAACTGGAACAACCAAAGCTGATTCTGTACTTCCTTCTGACTCGAGATGTTGGCTAACTGGAAGAACCAAAGCTGATCCTGTACATCCTTCTGACTCAAGATGTTGGCTAAATGGAACAACCAAAGCTGATTCTGTACTTCCTTCTGACTCAAGATGTTGGCTAAATGGAAGAACCAAAGCTGATTTTGTACTTCCTTCTGACTCGAGATGTTGGCTAACTGGAACAACCAAAGCTGATCTTGTACATTCTTCTGACTCAAGATGTTGGCTAACTGGAACAACCAAAGCTGATCTTGTACATTCTTCTGACTCGAGATGTTGGCTAACTGGAACAACCAAAGCTGATTTTGTACATTCTTCTGACTCAAGATGTTGGCTAACTGGAAGAACCAAAGCTGATTCTGTACTTCCTTTTGACTCAAGATGTTGGCTAACTGGAAGAACCAAAGCTGATTCTGTACTTCCTTTTGACTCGAGATGTTGGCTAACTGGAAGAACCAAAGCTGATTCTGTACTTTGTTCAGTCTTAGGATGTTGATTAGTTACCAAGAGAGATCTTGTACTTGCTTGATAATTAAAGTCTTTCACTGGTAAATTGATATCTTCACTTTGAAATGTTGTTTTGGTTGAAGATAGGGAAAGTGGTAACACATTTTTCATACTGCTGACACTTGGAGTTGTATCTTCCTGACATACATTGCATGACAAATGTGATGTCAGTTGAAGGGATGAGGGTAAATTATGAACAGTTTGAGCATTCTTATAATGACCTTCACCTGAATTGGTCATATTTGTAAAATCTGAAATATTGTATGCCTGATGGAAAGATGATGTGGTTGCTAAAAATTGAAATTTACAATCAGATGATGAATGAGTTTTTACAGATGAAAATGGTTTTCCTCCTAATAAATTTTCTTCCCAAATATCATCTGAACTGTACACGTCCAAACACTGTATATCTTTAAGACCACTGTCAGAAGTGCATGATTCAGTGACCAACTCACTGCTAAAAGACTCGGTGAGTTCTTGGTCTGATTCACAGAAATCCGAATCTTCACTAATCTCGATTTCTGATCTTACAATTGCCATTGAATCACATGATGTCAGAGTTAATCATGATGACCACATGCAGTCCCAGCACAGTATAAAGTAAGCAGCAGCCCCAAAAAGATAAAAGAAAAAAACATGGCTAACTGTTAGAATAGAGAGTCTTCTCACAAAACAACAGTTAAAACATGAATTAGTACATAAATAATTTGGTTTAACAATAAAAAGCAGGTAAAATAACCACACTGACATATTTCCTTCAATATTAGATAAACAGTAAAACAAAAGGCACTAGGAATTGTATGCATATTATAAAGCTACCAACAACAACTACTAATTGACTTTTTCCATATGAGGCTGATCGATGTGACCAACCTTTTAACAATAAGTTTCCATGATATACTGTTAATATGATACGTGTATCTTCACAAAATATATCAAACTTTCAATAAGCATCACAAGTCTTTTGTACACAAAACATCAGATTTTTTGATTAAGCATTTTTACACCAGATTTGTCAACAAATATATGGATTCAAAGTACTGACCACTCCGAGTGCAAAGTGATTTTCATGTTAAAATTAAAAATACTTTACTTCACCTGAAAATTATAAAATTTTATTTGTGTAAATTATAAAACTGGCTAAATAAACATCAAACTTATTTTTTGGTAAATCTTATATTTTATTTTATCTGTTATTTTCTCTATTCAAACTCTATACAGACTCAGTAAACATGATCGATCTCGTAAACACCATAAAAACATGCAAAATAAATCTCATTTACCCTTTATTTCTTTCCAGAATGACTACAAAACGTAACATAAAATTACATTGCTTATCCTAAATAGCTTAAAGCTTGTAACACTCCACATCTGTTTATACTTAATTCTATTGCCCTTTGAACTGTGTCTAACTTATAATCTCACAAGTTGTAAACCACTCAGTTAATGCATAATTCACGTTACTGTACCGAATAACATAATGCACGAGTTGTTCTTAACCATATTTAATGAAGAATTATTATAATTTTTATCTTAACTGATCTAACCTAATAAGTTTCAAATTTTTACATTTGAGTTACTTTTATAAAAATAAGCAAAAAATGTACCTGAAAAATAAGAAATACGGTGCTTATATTTGACCTCGTTTTGTTTTTTTGTGGGTTACAGATGAAGTTTAACTCTGCTTTTTCTATAATGATGGTACACTAAATAATTTTTACTTATTTTAACTGAAAAAAATTTATAATACTCTGTACAAAAAACAATATAGCATTAAGATTAAAAATTTGCCTTTCTATTGCTTACAAATGATATAAAATGTCAGAGAGGATTAATGGCAATTTGAGAAAGAGAGGATGTAACAGATGAGCATGACAAGTGGAACTGATTTTCTACTTTATGACTCTGTAAACAAAAGACTTTGACTTAGTATTATCTATATTATAATGAGTATTTGAAGCTAAATTCCATGGAGATGGACAAAAGGAGATTCCTGTAACTCCCTGAGGGCAGAAGAAATCTGTGATCTGTTTAAAGTTATCATAGGTTCCGATCGAGACACTCACAGGTGCAAAAATGTGAGTCCATTCATTGAGAATCAAAATATACCTCCTCCTGGCAATAAGCCAAAGCATGCTGTTCCGATAAACATGGAGGACAAGGCATAGCTATCCCGTCACGTAACTGAGCAGCAAATCTCACAGCATGAACAGCAACATCAGAAGAAGGAGGAAAAACCAAGTAGTTACTTGCCATCCTTGCTGCCAACAAGGAAGGAGTAGAGTCAAATGCAATAGGAGAGACCCCCCAAAACCTCACAAACCTGAGTAACCAATTGAAGAAAAGAGGCTGGAGGTGGCTGATCAAAATGACCCTCTGTTGAGGCTGACCTAGTAAAAAAGGGAGCCGGAAAAAAAACGAGTTTAATTTCTCCCCAGCTGGTCAGAATCATTTGTAAAAGCCGTCTCAGAACCCCCTGTAGAGACAACCCCAGTCCACATACACGTGTCTATCTCGCAACAGATCATATCACATACAGCCTAGACTGAGAGTGACCCCCAGGTGGAAGAAGGAAAGGTCTGAATAGTCTCACTAATAGAAACATTAACTCAAGAATTCATACCCGTGGTACATGGATTTTTTTAATATTATTATTATTAAAGTAATTTATAAATATAGGAAGATATAACCGTAGTAATACAAATCACATTCAAAATCACAACATAAATTGTGAATAAACACAACACTTCTGTTTACAGAAACCCATGCCCAATGCTTTGCCGAGAAAAAGTGATTACGTTATATGAATGAGCTGATTATATACAGTACCTAGACATAGGGTGCATTCCAGTGGGGTATAAAAGACTGTAGCAAGCATTTTAAATGCTTAGATGGGCAAAGAGTGGAAACCCTGAAGATTGAGAAATAGCTATAATGTCAGCAGAGTTAAGTATTATTGGAAATAAAGATTTAATATCATAAAAGTTTTAAGTTCTTAATTCTATAATAAGATAGATATTACTAATGCAAAGCATAATTTTTATAGTCTTCAATCTTATTTGTTTACAAAGCCATAAACTAGAAAATCATACCCACCTGTCACATGTTATCTTTCACATCCTCTCATTTGCAGATTGCCTATAGTTATCTCTGATGTTTTATATTATACTAGCTGAGTTACCCGGCACTGCACGGTGAAAATTTAGATTTGAAATGTATAGATCGGTATTTTTTTTCATCAAATTATTCAGTAAGTAGACAAAAGCTGTGATGCAAGAAATAAAAAAGCATTTAATCAAACAAAGCTTTATTTGAAATTAGATCGTGTTTGAG